TCAAATACAGTTAGTATTTCGTTGATATTAGGCAGGGGATAAACATCCTTTTCTGTCACAGAATTTAACTTACAGTAGTTGATACAAATTCTTTTACTACTATTTTTCTTTAGAACCAGAATCATGGGTGATATTCAGAAACTCTTAATTGGTCTAATAATCTCTTGCTTTTCCATAGCCAATATCTCCTCTTGGAGAAACTTTTGTTATCTTAAGATATGCTATACAAACACTGCTTAATAGGTAAAGCACTTTTTGTATTAATTTTATACTATATTAGGTTAGTATATTCAAGTCTGACCATTTGATCTATTTTACTAATTTTTCTGCAAAAATATTGATATTCTTTTGCAGTAAATCCTATGCCTATTGTTGCTAATCTACCAAAAGATCTTTATTGATGTCAAACAGAATTTTTTCCTGTTCTAAGTGATTTTCCAATGATTCAGTTAAATATACTACCAGATTCTGATCTGTTCATAGATTATGATACAATTCATCTTCTTCTAAGACACATTCGTCAGTATAGAAAGCCTTGTGAATCTCTCTACTATCATTTTCAAGCTCATTGATCTACTCTTTCTTATCTGCAAACTCCTCTAATTCTTGTTCAATAACCCTGCTACTTACATATATTGTATTAATGGTAGCCTGTCTATCTAAATATCTTACATGCAATATTTTTTTATCAAAGTCTAGCTTTGCTTTAGACTTATTGAACCAATCTGTCTCCAATAATAAAGTTTCTTCTGAAGATTCAATAACTTGTAAATCAATAGGTATTATAATACCTTGTAGAATTATATAAACATCGCTAATTATCACTAAAGCCTTAGTTTGACTTCCATTCGCTATTTTTACTACTATATTGGAAGGCTTATCACTTACTAACCCAAGCTTATCTATTAACCAATTAGTAATGATACTGATGACAGCGCCAGAATCTAAAATAGCAACTATCAGGTTTACTTTTATATGAACATGACAATGCATTGCAACTATTTTTTGTTTGTTACTAGCTTGTGAATAATTAGCTTCAGTAGTAGGGGCTTTTGTTCTTCTTACTACTTTAGCTAAATTACAACATTGATTTGGATACTGCAACAACTGGCCATATATAGCTTGTGCTTGTATACTCAATATATCTTCTAATATATCATATAAGATAAGTTTATCAATTACAGATAGTAATCATTTATTAATGATTCATCTAAAAGATAGAGAGGTAGGATTATTTTCTATATTCATTGGTACAAAGTAGAAGGTTTGGGTATAATTTTACACAGACATGCTTTTGCTTGTTTTTTTTTTGCTTCTTCCGATTAGTGCTATATAGCTGATGTTGAGCCATATAAATTTTCTCTTCCTCTATTTTACTTTCATATTCTGCTTCAACAAAATTAATATCTTTATGCCGATTTGTATTATTAGATCGTCTATAATTTTGGCGCTGTTGATCTCTGAACAATAATAGTTCCAGGCTACAATCTATAGTATAGTAACCACATTCACCACACTAGAAACAAGTAATACCAAGATTTCTCTGAGAATTTTCTCTTCGATGAGGTATTCTAGATTCACGTATATCTATTAACATAGCTTGCGCAGTAAGTGCTATAACAATAGTAGTATAATTCAGAGTTATTTGTTCTAACTGCTTAGTTAGTTGCTTAATTTCTTTATTATAATCTTTTGATTTTTTAGGGTGACTAGGGTCAATATTCAATGCAAAGTTGGTACCTTGCTCATAGGTACGAGCAAGATCAAGGACACCAGCCAAGTTGTTCGAGTTATGCATCAAAATAATAGGGAGCATTTTTAGACGCAACCCTTCTTAAAATAATATAACTTTTGAGCATTTCAGAGATTTTCTCTAATTTCGACTCTATCTGCAAGATATTTGAACTTGCTATAATATGTATTGACTAGTTTACCAGGTAATTGTCTTAGGGTGTCCAATTCTCTTAACTATTTATTTTGCTAATATTGATTACAAAAGCATGCTCTAAATATATTTAATGTAGCAGTTCAATTCGCATTGACATCATTAGTAGTAGCATTAACCCCATAGTATGTTTGTTGCTATTTATCAGTATTTTTAGGCATGAAAGCAGGCAGAATATCCTGTTTTTGCCTACTATTCCATCTGTTGGCTATAGCAGCCTTTTCAAAACCATCTAACCAAATTTGCGGGTCCTGTGTCCCATCTTCTAAAAATAGATTAACTTTCAAATAATCAGTTCTTTTTGATTATTCTGAAGGTAATTTAAGATATCAACAGCAGTGGCCATTGGTTTAACAAGTGGTGTGAGTGTTTAAAATAATCTAGTTAGTTCTAAGTCTGATTTTGAGCTTTCTGAGTCTGATGTCGATTTAACCAATCTGTATAGTACATCAAAAGGGTCAAGATCAAACCGTGTAGTTTGTTGATATACTTGATTTAAATATCTAGCTAAAGTATCGAATTCTGGGTTCTGTAAATATTGACAAGTGTAGATTAAAGCTACAAAGTTTTCTTCTGTTAGGATTCCAAGCTATCATATATATTGAAACAAATAGACAGTATACTCTGTATATTGATAAACAGGATATGTAACAAAAAACTAGATCCAAAAGTTGGTAAATGATAGTATTGATGCTGTCACAACTGAATAACACAATACGTATGAGTAATCTACATAAGTTCCTTGAATTCGTCGATAAGTTTGATAATCATTACCCAGATAAATTGTATGCTGATGATCGTATTAGTTATTTCTTTGAACAAACAGATCAAAAGTTAGCATATATAAACAAATAGAGACTGTATCTCACAGTCACCATCAAAAATATCACACCTGAATTTCTCCTTTTATGGGGATTCAATAAATGTGCAGGTTATAGTATAGAGACTATAACCTTGTAACTTGGCAAAGATTATAAAGTCAATATTCAACTATTAATTAGTATTTATTAAGGCTTTGAAAGAAGCAGCAACTAAGTATATATGAAGATACAATTAGCTGTTATAGTAATTATACAATATAATATTCATATAAGGGTTTTGGATAACAAGTATTAATCGTGAAGTTCCTTCATGATAGTCATATAATCAAGTTTGTTATGTCAATTTAATAGATAGATTTTAATTTAACATGTATGAAGACACAGAGAG